ATAAAATCAAAAGATGCGGCCACATTTGGCTTAAATTCATCTATTGGTGGTACACGTCCATATCGTTGACTAAAATGATTCAATAGAATGAATGAAGCATTCATATCACGTCCAGCTTGAATAGCTTGACCCGTTGTGCTTTAATATAACGAGTAATCAGAAAAAAAAGAAAAATCAAGCAGATTGAGGCGTTTATTACTAAATATTTAGATAGAAAAATCATTGTCATAGGTTAGTTTGCCAACAACCTAACTATTTTTATTGATGAAAAATGTTGGATAGCATGTTCGAATGTCTAAAATATACAATTCTTTACTGGGTTAAAAGCGTAACATTTAATGAATATCGGCTGATGATAACTATCTGTTCATAATGTTTGTACGGTGTCCAATTCGAATAAGCGATAAACATGCTTTCTGTTAGCAAGTCCAACCAGCTATCTGGGAGGGAAGATAGCTTTTTATTAGCCAGCCGAATCAATAAAGAAATATGTATTCATTCATATTATATATATATATATATATATATATATATATATATATATATCATTTGAAAAGGCAATCACACTTTGGTGTGGGGCTTATCGTATGGTCGACATCTCACTGGCCTACCGTATCAGTTCACAAATTGACATGTGAATTCATGTTATATCGTTGGATTGACCGTTACAAATTCAAGTTTATTAATCACCAAGTCATCCAACTCTAATGTGCGTAAGTTACAAATACATTATAAGGGCATACAATTATGCTAATAAAATAAAACGTAACAATAAAACGGTCATATAATAGATATCAATAAATGCATGCTTGGTAACATATTTTTACCCAACTTATCAGAAATGAAAATGCAGATATGGAATATAAATATCTAAAGAATACATTTCATTGAAACATTTAATGTTATATAACCTCTTAATAAATTTATGGTGTTATTTTGTTTACAATATACCAATAGTAAAATAAATAACAACTCTCGAGTTAATTAATACATCTTGTGTGTAGAAATAATTGATCTGGAAATGTCTAAATTCATGAACTGCTACCTTAAGAGTTTTACTGTATTTTGCATGAAAATCAGATAAGATATCTAAAAAAAAGTATCTTCATGGCTATAAAGGTTCTAGGTTAAAACAAAACACAGGTTTTTATGAAAGTTGAAAAATGACTAGTAGCGGAATCTAAGTGTCGCGCTTCATCCAGTTAGGGACTGAATAGCTGGATGTATCCGCATTTGAGCTGTCCACACTGGGACTCCTCTATGTTCGAGGGATTAAGATATTGCCTACGACCGGCGAAAGGAAGGAAGTCAGCAACACAAAAACAACAGGATAAACTAAGCTATGCGCTTCAGTCCTCCTACCCAGAAGAACAAGACCAGATGCAACCAGGAAAATATATAATTCCACAAGCAACCAGGAAGACCAAACAACAAACACACAACTTATACGTATATACACAGTACAGAAATGTCCTCGGAGAACTTCACAAAGTAAAGTACTAAAAGAGAAGACGAACCAATATCACTTGAGGTTCTTCCATGTGGGAAGCACAAACTGAAGTTTAAAATGGGCGGTTTTGGTGCGAAAATTAGAAATCCAAGTTTCAATAATTAAATTACAAAAATGGGAATTTTATCAAGTGGTTTCTGGAGATTTAGCACCTCCAATAGACTTGAACTGAGTACCTTTAACTACAAACACTAATGTGTTATCCTTTGAGCAATCAAGTCTAAAAACCACTAACTTTATTAGTTATTCAAGACAGAACAGGACAAATCCTATATTTAGGTAGGAATAACAGAATGATTATACAGAATATTACAGAGGAGTGAACATTCAAATACCTACCTGTGCTTTGCTTTGAGTGCTAAATCTACATATTCATCATTTACAGTAGCTTCGTGTATGAGTAAATCACAATTTTTTCCAGCTTTCACAAGTTCAGGACATGGAGGAGTATCACCAGAATACACAATAGACCATTTTCGTTGTGTTTCAGAACAATTTCCGGCAATATTTTTACTGTTTATTAAATTTTTGAATGGATAAGGTTTATCAATAATAAACGCCCATGATGAACGTGTGTGTGGAACTTTGACCGGTCGGATCTAAATGACAAAAAATGGATTTCAACATTTTCATGAATTACATTTCTGTAGTTAAATGTACAACTCATGAATTATTCAGTAAGTTCATTTATAAATTTGTCAATATCAAATAGACCAAAAGGGGAACCTATATGTTCGATAATGCTATACAATACGAGTATAAAAACTGGATTAGACTGTAATGTAACCTATTTACTACGAATAGATTCGTGTACTTTGAGTCATACTATTTTTGTGATAAGTGTTAATGATAAAATCCAGTTTCATAAAATGAAGCACGTGAGGTGAGATCGGAACCTGGAACTTATTAGTTGATAACCGATTAGTTCAACTATTAAGCTATTGCACTGATTGTACTGTATAACTAATAAAACAGTAGAGGAAAAGTGAGCTTCTTAATCATGAGTATTATCATACTGTGGTATATGCGACTTATGTAACACCAACCAAAATTTGAATGGCTGGCAGCACAGGCTAAGAAGATCGAGTTGAAGAGAATAGAAGAGGAAATAGAAAGAAATTGTGAACTGGAAGAATAATAAAGAATGTGAAAAACAAATGATGGAAATTTGCAAATGAAGTATTTAGTGTATGGTTCTCATACTTTACCAAGATATTCTGTAATTTTGTAATAAAATACATTGGCTGTCCCGGCCCGTGTTTTCGTTCATTACAATAATTCTTGTGAACACATACATATACATACACTAGCAGTGTATGTATATAAATACTTATTCCTTTAGACTAGACCCATTAGAATGCAAATATTAATCGAAAGAAAAGTTTGTGATTGGATCATTTAACCTTTAATCACTTGGTTACAAATTCGAATCGACCTTGTTGAACTCCAACAATTGCATTAATTGTAGCTTGAAGCAGAACATTATGAGTGATAGTATTAGGGAAAAAATTAACAGCTCACATAAATAATATGATTACAAGAAGCGGATACATATGTTTATATTAACATAAATGCTTGGTACATTCTTAATTTCAATACAGAAGACAAAATTACCAAACACAAAACATATAGCAATAATCATAGTGATAATAATAATTCAACCATAAAAGTAGAGTGAGGTTGTATGCATTCAAGAAACGACAGAAATATGGTGAAGTCTGTCATAGTAAAACTACTCTGATAAAAGTATAGTATAGGGATGAGCCAATCAGGATAGAGAACGAGACTTTCAGGTTCTTGCGTAAACTTTAAATATCACATATAATGGAACGGTAGAAATACCTTTTTATACTGATTAAACGTTTCAGTCGATCGACTCTGCTTCAGTAGATTACTTATAAAAGGTAGATCGACATCATCCTTAAGTCCTCACCCCCCCCCGAATCCGTTTATTTCGAAAACTATCTATCAGCATAACATTGTGTAAACTAACTAATCCGGCATTTTCTTTTGGGGTTCTGCTAGAAATTTGTTTATCCATAGGGCAAATGTCAGTTTGTGATGAAAGCCCTAATTCTAAACACCTTATTTTTATATAAAAAATCTATCACGCTCATTTAAATGTTTTGAGGAGACGGTCAATCTATAAAAATAAAAACGGATTCACAGCCAGAGTAACCCATAGAAGACATTAATAGATTTTTCAGTTATTTAAAATCTATTTATATTCTGAAATATTACCGTATTCTTTTCCATAAACAATCCCTTTTGAAAATGCTGTTTTCTGATAGACTGAGTACTAGCCAAAATTTTGTCACGGTTTTTTAAGCTCATTCGTACACTCTTGCTAATTACTCTCCCTTTTGTTTTCTTGGCAGTGTTTATACAGTTCTTTGTAATGGTATGAGTGAAGATAATATTGTAGTCAAATTAAAGCAGTAACATTTGATAAACAACAATTTAGATGCAGACAATAATGATAGCAATTTTTTCAACTATTACTGTATTTTAAAAAATCCAGTCCCAACTTACAATAGATTAAATGATAAACACAGTGATATTTTTATTTATTTATTTAGACATATTGGTACAAGGAGGCACCGAATACATATGCTCCACACTTCGTCATTTGATTTGTGTGAGGGCTTGGATACTGCCTGGGCGCCCAAACCGAATCAGGTAAACACTGTGATACATAATGTTAAAGCAATAGGAATAAGGGATAAAAGAAAACGGTGCGACTCATTGATTACAAGGTACTTAGAAAAACAGAATAGATTTCTGGAAAAAAAATAGAGTACATAAAATTTTTTGTTCTATTTGGTATGTCTAAGTCAGGTGCCCCGCGTAGATATACATTTGAATCGCGAATGGAAGACAAAGAGCGGGAGGTTCATATCCAAGGTTAGTTTATGTGCAGAAAAAAAGATTTGTGTTATTCAAAAGTGTGATACTCTAGAAGCTTTTAGAAACATTAAAATTGGCAAGCATCCATACACGCTAAGACATAGAATTTATTGTTTTCCTGGGAACTTCTAGGAAGATTCTATGGAACCCTGAATGGATCAAGTATATTTAGCCACTATCCAGCTTCCGAAAATTTTTCCGAGGAATTTTGAAGTAGGTCCTGGCACTAGTATTTGTCAATGACTTTTGATTTGATTTAAGTAAAACATTTCCGATAAATTTTAGTTTAATTAATTTGCAAAGCACAAGTTTGTTAAGTATTCGGCTTTGAGCCAGATTGTTTGTAAGAGGGCTAAAGATACTATCTAGTTTCCTAATTTGAAGTAGACGCATTGGAACCCAAACCTGCTATGATAATCTGTGACTAAAATGAACTGATAGATTATTCTGGTTTTATGTTGACCAGTCTATCTGTACACTAACAGAGTTTAGGTAGATTAGATGCATAGAAACTGATATTCATGGTTATTGTGAATTCTGTCTGAGCATTTTACTTTCGTTTTTTATTATCTTATTCTTTTTTGTCCATTATAATTATAGCACTAATAGTCACGGTGAACTATTTTTGAACATATGGCTTATAATATACCTTCGTTATGTGCGATGTTTCAAAGTATCCACATGAACCTGTGATATTCAATCCATTTATTATCATATTTGTGTTCCCTTAAAATTCTTGACAGTTTATTTTAATTTTTTGCAGGTTTATTGAATATTTGTTTAGAAGTTACGACTTCTATATTTTCTGTGCAAAATTTGCGTTACGATTTGTAGGCTGCCAGGGCCGAATCGATACAGCCACTGAATGTTACATATATTGTTGAGACATTTCATTCTTTTTATTCATACCTTAATGCATGTAAACGACTTAGATATCTCACAAATTCAGATTTGTAAAACATAATACTTATGCTGCCAATGACCATGCTATAGACAAAACTTTTGTTGAGATTTTGGATTCTATGTGTGACTTCATTATCTGGCCTTAATCTATAAAGGGATTTTAGCACTCGCTAACAAAGATGAGTAAACTGTATGCATTGTTGACTTGCGTAGAATCATAATATATATAAAAGTATGGATATGTGTATCAAAGCATGTCCAACTGAAGCTTTACAAAAACTGACTATTCTAAGCCCTAAGTAAGTTAGCTTAAACACTAGTTACGTTATTCTGTTATAACTGTTCAAGGTATAAAATAACTTGAGTTGTTTGTTGTCAACAGATTAGTTTATAAAAATCGAACAGGACTATCGGAAACTATTATGATATAGATATCCATGACGATACTCATGACTGAATTTGACCAGGTATTTATTGGCACACAATAAATATGCATCGATATTGGCTGGAATTACAAATTTCATTGTATTTTTCTGTATTCTACTTAGTAATTGAATCCAAGAAGGGCATTTTATCTTGTTTGATATGTAATTGTGCAACAACTTGTGAATTATAATAAAAACTGTATTTACTGATTAGGTTAGTAACTATTCCAATTTATTACCTTAGTTAACAACACGTTGGTGTTTGAAGCAGTAAGTACTGGGTTCAAGTATCTCTGTAAACAGAAACGTAGACATTTAAGTGATGGGCTTCATCATATAGGTCAGAGATGTTCATGTACTACTGGATTCCTCTGGTAGCCACTATTTAGAAATATTTAAATTCTATCAAATTCTGCCATTTAATACTTATTTATAATATTTCCCTCACAAGTAGAAATTAATTTAATGAGTGACACTTCATTATCATAATATATGTTGTCTGGCTATAACAACTGTCCACATTTATTAGTCACCTTGCCTTATTTTACAAAGCGCATATAAACTATATTGCTAAAAGGGTTGATTTTAAAGCAGTGTAACAGAATTTAATCAGTTATAATGTAGGCATTTTCAGCCTAACTTTAAGTAAGACATTACACCAGGACAATTTGCTATCTAATACTCTTGTCCGAAAGGGGTTTAAGGGACGATTAGAACAATATAACACATAACTTCAGATTAAGTAATAGATTTTTAAATCAAGGCAAATTCTACAAAATCCAGTAAATTTGTAACTGGGTGTATGACTGATTGCATTGTAGACGTCCATCAAGGTATGTGGTTATTCTCCAAAGTCTAAAAGACCAACAGTATCAAATCATTTTCTCTTTTGAATGCACAATAACCATACGCACTTTAATACAATACTTTCACAATATTTACAACTTTCCTGAGCAGGTGTATAACATATATTTTCCCAAGCAACTACACTGTATAATCCTCGTCACTTAGCATCGCATAAACACAATGAAATACTTCATACAAACAACAACAGAGTATTAAAAATACAAGTTATCGTCGATAGTGATGCTTAGTATGATTAAATGCACAATTAATATACGTATTTGTTCCATAAAATAGACCTGTAACAAAACAATAAGTTGGTAAGTGTTGGTTTTCTCCCATTAACATAAGACAGTAACGCAAATAAGGCATAAATTAAACCAAGATGGAACTATTAGGACTTAATGACAAAAAAGGGATAAAATTTACTTACATTAATATCAAGCTGCTCTAATAATTTTAACCACTTTTCCGTCTCGTTTCGTTTCATGTTTAATGCGCATGAAGGACTTGAATTCTTATCATGTTCATCGTAAAGAATTTGTATGATGAATGGGTCAACAATTTGGTCATTATGGAAAAGTTCATTGAAATTAACTAACCAATGATAGAATCCTGATGGAGCAAGGACAGGTAATAAACAATTGGATTGGTCAATACCATCTGATTTAAGTAGACTGGAACGAACTAGAGCTACTGTGAAGACACCCTTGAAAAACAGAATAAAAATAATTTTGTAGAGAAGAAACATTTACTGTGCTAACAGAATAAGGTTCTTTTCCATAACTTACTTGACTATCTGAACTTAGTTAGATGACTGAAAATCAAGAAGCACTAGACAGTTATTTCATTTTAGTATGGGACTCCTTAATGGAGAGCTTATACGGCCCAACTAGCTAGAGGAACCTATAAGATCCAGGCTAGCCCCTAACGTATTAGACTACAGAGTTAGTACTCAGTGGTTTACATTTACGGTGGAAGGTTCTGGCTACCATGAAGATCGACTTTCATAACATATTGAAATAATTCGAAGAAATAATAAAAAACGGGATAGATATCTCGACCTAGTTCGGAATACTAAACAGGAATGAATTATTAATTTATTCATGGAAATTTAGCTTCTACTACTACTAACTGTTAAATTGATATTTAATGGTCAGTTGTTCTTCAGTTAGCCTAATTGATGGAGCGTTTCTGAAACTTTATACCAGTGCATGAAGTTACTGACTGTTGGACTGAATCATGTAGGTAAATTTAGACTACCTGGTTGGGGTCCTCACGATTATTATAATTAAATGCTACAAACGTGAAAACTAACACCAAAATTAATATGATCTACACACCGGGTGACTGTCCCTTCCATTGAAGCTCCTGTTTATTTAGTAGTATTTCGAATGATTTACTTAACGTAAGTCAGATGGAATTATTTACTATATTATCGGTATATAGTAAGGGTGATATAGGAATGATGTACAGGTTAAAAATATGTAGTAGTGTAGATTTTTATTCATAATGTAGTAGCTAAGGAAGATCTATCTTGTTTCCATTACTTGTTTTTTTTTACTGACTCATATATTCAATACAGAATCGTGTACTTGGCTATGAGTTGTATTCAGTTAGTGAAGTAAGATTCGATTAGGAGTTAAAACATAGATTGGGCACTTACTATAGTTTTTTAATGCAAAAAAAAAGATGTAATGCATCTCAATAGTTTAAAAATTGAACTTCCAACCACAGAATAACGATTTTGCAATACATCTTTAGTTTTTTTTATAACGTCAGTAATATTCGAAGCATCATGTAAAACCATGTACTTAATTATAAAGTTGCATGAACTACATATAATGTGGAGGAATTACTAATGTGTTTCAGAGTTGTTAATTATTTATTGGTAATTGGCTCAAATTTGGTTGCGATGATGCAGAAGTATCCTATCTGTATCTTCTCTTAGGTCCTGAGTTTTAAAATTACCTAACACTTTTAATTCTGCGAATTTATTGCTTTTTCTAGAATTATACTATGTATTTCTAATGTCTTCTACTACCAATGATAGTTTTACTACTTCTAAAACTTAATCATTCCGCTGAGCTATTCATGTTGAGACAGCTTAAACCGACTGGCTGACTAAATTGGTAGGACTTATCTACTGCAAAACATGTTTCACAATCATATGAACGTATTTTTACTTACAACACGAAACAAGTGTAACCACACTGTATATATATATAATGACTTAAGATAAGAGAATAAAAAAAAACAGAATTATACATCTGAAAATGTGAAAACTCACACCATGATGATCAGCGTGCATATGAGTAACAAGAATTAATCGAAGTTTGCGCAAAATATTATTTCCTTTTTCGACACCATGTAGTGCGTATAGTTGACTTAAAGAACCCTCTCCACAATCCAACATTATGTAGTTATCTGGACTGAAATGGCACGCAGAAAATTTTTTGATAGTGCAACAGGTAAAAAAACAAAAAATACACTTACGAATAATGTGTAATATGATTTAAAACGTAATCATAGAGATGATGATATCAGTTTTCAGGGACAATGAATAACTTCGCTCACAGCAATTAGTCATAGAGTCAATGGTTTGTCAAAAATTCAATTTATAATCTATTATTCATTAAAAACTATTTTACAAATCCATGAAGATATATTCTACGTTATTTCTAGTTGACTGTAGTCGAAAAAAAATCCTTGAAAAGAAAATCTTCAATACGAACACCAAGACAGTTCTACTATACAGAGATGAAACGTGAAGAACTACTACAACAATCATCAAAAAAGTACAAGTATTTATAAACAATTGTCTACAAAAGATATTCACTGTCGATTGGCCCGATGCCATCAGCAACAATCTACTGAAGAACAAAGTAAACCAGCTCCCAACTGAAGAGGAAATCAGGAAAAGACGATGGAAGTGTATAGGACATACATTACAGATATCAACAAACTGCATCACGGGGCGAGAAATAACTTGGAATCTTGAAGGGGAACGAAAAAGAGGAAGACGAACGAACACACCGAGTCGAGGATTGGAAGCTAATATCAAAAGAATGAACAGAAATTGGAAACAACTGGAAAGAATTGCCCAGGACAGATTTCGATGGAGAAAACTAGTGGGCGGGCTATGCTCCTCCATGAAGAGTAACAGACGTAACTAAGTAAGTAGTCGAAAATCAAGATGTTGCATTCTATAAATCTATTAATGATACTTGACGCTTCTAAAACAAAAAAACATGTCGAACTATTTACACCTATCTTATTTACCGGGATAGATACAACGACATAAATAGGTGAAACATTAAGTTGCAGTCTGAAACTCCTAAAAGTGAACAAGAAATATATTTGTAGGACTTCGTCCAGCTAAATGTTCATCTTACAATATACATTAATAAAAAGTCAATTACATTATACAAATGAAAGTCAATTCATAATTGAAACCACAAAAAAAGAGGTTAAAACTAACTCTAGTTGCATAAGAATACAACTGATATTACGATATTTGTTAGGAGAGGAAGATGCAGTGCCAAGAAATGTGATTTCAGGATACTCCTCTGATGCTAATCTATGAGCTAAATAATATACAGTAAAAAAATTCCATATTAACACTTGTAAAATGTGTAAATTAATATTGTCAAAAATTATCAAAGCAAGTGCCTTTCGGTCATCCAAAATCTGAAGTACAGGCTGATAAAGATATGTTCACGACAGGATGAATTATATGAGAGTATATTAGAAAGAGTATTTAAAAAGGGAAATTTAACCACGGAATATTCAGACTGATTTTAGTTGGAAGCACTAGACATCTGCTTCGCCTCTGTATGGGGCTCCACAGTGGTATGCAACCATGACTATACCAGGAATCGAATCCAATTTATTTCGATGTGTTATTCAGCGGGCGTCTTCCAATACTCGGCTAGATTTCAGGTGGAGTCGTGAGTGCGTACGACCGTCTGATGCTTTCTGGTTTTCGATAACTATCTGATATCAGCATGTGATACAAACTATGAAATTTAGCAATCTCCACAAGCCACCTGTGGTAGTAACAAAGAACATAAGTAGAATAGTTTTTTTGGCTATTTGAACATTAAAATTTAAAGTAATGCTTTTCTTATTGAATGATAAAATTGTTTTTCTGCTCGAATAGTTCTGTAATGCATACCCGGATTTATTTTTATAAATAATCTTATTTCTAATCTAGTACAAACTTTATGAATAAAGTCGGATTCACTTAGAAGGAAAGGCAAAGGTTGTCTACTCCAAATGTTATGCAAATTTAATCTCTCCTACTAAACAACACCATTTAATGTTATCAACGGTACTAAATTGATCATCTGAAATTGTTAAAATGTTAAGGTTTTGTTTCTGTACAGCTATTAACTGCAACATGCTGGAATTCGTGCAACAAACAGCTAAATAAACATGATACAGAATAAATGGAATGTGGCTAGCAGTAAAATCCAGGACGCGCATTTCATTCTATTTGAGACTGGTCAGCTGGATGTACCTTCATCACAGAGCTAATGTTCACTTCAGAACTCGAACCCAGTATCGTTTGGGACCATCTAAACCTTTGTAAATTGAGGTAAATAAACTGTTTACGATCTCATTAGTCAGAGATAATTAAAAGAAAATGACTAAAATCTTTACCACTCTCTAAAACTTGTACTCATCTTAACCTTATTATAGTCAACTATACTCTCTTCTCTTGTTAATACACTTATTTTTTTCTCTTCATGAACCGATCAATTCTAATGTTTGATTTAGAATTGATATCAGTGTAAAATTAACATTAGATGGAACATAAATCATCCGACACTCATTAAACATACAATACATAATCAAAACTTATTATAGTCAGAATGGGTTTTGTGGAGAGTTTTAGAAATTTCACAGGTTGAAATCATGAGTCGATTGAACCTAGACCACCATGGAAAACCTGGAAGCACTGAACGGCCTTTTCGTCCTAGTATGGGACTCCTCAGAAGTGCGCATCCAAGATCCCGCATCACGCGGGGCTCGAACCCAGGACCTGCTGGCTTCGCGCGCGAGCACTTAACCACTAGACCACTGAGCCGACATCCAATGGTGTTAATGTCTAACTTTAAATGTTTCAATAAAAAGAAGCATTTGCAGAACATTATACTGATTAGAAAAGTCACCTGGTGGTTTGTTGGATTCAATGGATTCTCTCATTTTAACAAATTGTTCTTCTGCTTCTTGTAAACTCATATAAACCGGATCAAAAATTTGTGACACAAATTCATCACCATTTAAATGTGGATAAGTAGGTCTAAATTATGAAAAAAAATGAAAATTTACAAAAGTTGAATATAAATCCTACTATATTATTTTTTTTCCGAACAATAAATAACTCGTGCCAGGGTATAATGTTAATTTTGACAGAAATCAGGGAAAAAAATACTATTCAGGTTACATGTGGAAATAAAATATTGAATCCTAAATTACCGCTTTAATCGTACAAAATGTACAATGATAAAGGCAATTAAAATACAGTAAGTTATAATCAATGTAGCAAATGAAATAAATTAACATTGACCCGAATTGCCACAACACATTAGCATAGTGAAAAATTAACGAGATTGATAAATAGAGCCCGAACTAAAGTATTATTGTTGATAGTGAAAAAAACAAACAAACATAGAGAATTAAAAAAAACAAACAGGAATGACTTCACGGGATAAAAGTATGACAAAATATTGAGACTAATGATCAATAAGGAAATAAACAGTGAATCTATACGTGCCACTATAATTGATTTTGAGTAGAGTTATTGTTGTTGGGGATTTGATTCGACCCATGGCAATTGCGAATTACGAATCATCGATATTATTTCTAATACGAACAGAATCTAAAGTGAGCTTAATTTCACAGTAAATGATACATAACACTAATGATAAACCCTAACGATGGAACTGAGAAAGTAGGCAGCAGGGAACAAGAAAACTTGACATTTGACGAAGACAAATCGAAATGGAACAACTCTCTACACACAGTAACCGGAAATGACGTTGATACAGAAAAATTTGAAAACTAAAAGTAATGCCAATCAACAAGAAAATAGCAATAGAAATACGAGTTTCAAAGATTGTACTCGTATTTATCATTACAAAAAAGAACTAACACTTATCGGGAGTATTTTTGGAGTCACCTAAGGTCTTCTTTCAGCCACTGAAAACGATTATGGGAGTGACTTCAGATAATGTGTCCCTTGCATCTATTGGCATGACTCAGTTTAGTAGTCACTGATTCCGTGGACTGGTGTCATATTTCAATCTGCATGTCTAGTATTTTTCCAAACTACTCTTACTTAATGCAACATTCCATATCGAGGTAATTCGTAGTTGGATATATGTAACATGTATCACAGCCGCTTCAATTAATCAAGATTAACAACCTTATTAACCGATTTGTCATACTTACCTAGTAGCTCTACGTCTGATCTCAGTATTAATCCCTCGGCTGTCCCATCATACGTGAGTAATGCTCCGAGGACATCTGTAATCAAATACTTGCAGCTTGCGTTTATCTCCTACATTCAAAGGCCTCGTTTCACGGATTTACTTTTTTTAAATCTATGCAAAGATATCTTTACAGACTAACCATGTAGGAGTGAGACTTCTAAAATGATAATCATCAGCGTGCTCAACTAATTCATTCCATATAGTCAGACAAGGTGTTGCTGCAGAGCAGCCCTAAAGTTAAATTTTGCACTTATAGTAAGAGAAATTTATACCAAAATTTCTCGAACTTTCTGTTGGGGATGCTAGATCCTCAGAAATCACTTGGTAGACGTCTCATTTAGTAATTTTATTTTGGAAATCTGAATCTCTCGTTTTCGCGCCAACAGCACCCACCTTTACACTCAGTTTGTATTTTCCACTAGGAGGAACCTTAAATGTCATTAGTTCGTTTCTTCTTTTAGCACGCTATTTGGTGACGTTTTCCAAGGACATTTTTGTATTATATATAAACTCATGAGTTATGGGCTTGTTCGTTCGTTTTTTCGACTGCTTGTAGAATATACATATCCCTCGGTTGAATCCGGTCTTTTCTCTCTAGTAAGTAGGGCTGGGGAGCAGGAAAATAGCTTAGATTATCCTGTTGTTGTGTTGCTGACTTTCGTTCCTTTCGCCGGTTTAGGTGATATCGTAATCTCTTCAAACGTAGCACTTTCACTCAAGTTATTCAGAAAACTCAACACTTAACCAGAATCTGTATAAATAGATATTTGAGTAATTATTAGTAAAAATTCGAATCGGGTTACGATATTAAAAATTCCGTAAAACCTGAAAGACTGCAGTAAATCTTACTTGTTAAACCCTGTCCATGGTCTCAAGGAAAACTGCAAATAAGGTTCAGCAGTTACAACGGAAGAGAAAGGATCAATATTCTTTGATATTGTTTCGTTCCGTTTCTGATTGGACGATAAAATAAAGAGAAATTTTACAATGTGTGGTGGGAAGAAATATAAACAAATGAATCAAGATAACCTAATAACGTTGGAAGTAATCAAATGTTATAACATTTTTAACGTTGTAACAGTTAACCGTAATATAAATATACGCTTTGCTGAGTGCATTCCTTTTAATCTGTTGTAATCAATATGGAGTTTGGAGTAGATGTGCATAGCACATTAGCACTACGAGATGACATTAACATGATGAATAGTAAAGGAATCGAAACAAAGACTGAAAATTGAGAATATGATTCAAAATGACAATGAGAAGCTAATAAAGAATACTGAAACTTAAGATTCAGAGAAAAATCAAAAGTAGAAATATCTGTGCCGTTAAGGCTGATATTGAATTATGTCACTTAACGTCGGCCACGAAAATCATCTTAATCAGTGGATCCAAAAGCATGATTCAGTCCAACGGTCAGTGACTTCATAGATTGAAATCACGTTTGCCAACCTACTCTTACTTAATGCAACATTCCATATCGAGGTAATTCGTAGTTGGATATATGTAACATGTATCACAGCCGCTTCAATTAATCAAGATTAACAACCTTATTAACCGATTTGTCATACTTACCTAGTAGCTCTACGTCTGATCTCAGTATTAATCCCTCGGCTATCCCATCATACGTGAGTAATGCTCCGAGGACATCTGTAATCAAATACTTGCAGCCTACGCTTATCTTCTATATACAAACGCCTTGCTCCAAAGACACTGAATAATACAACGTGGACTGGGGCTCAAAATACTGGTCCTTTTTAGTCGGAAATTGTTTACCATTAAAGTACAACTGAAGATAGAAATATCATAAAGGCAAGAAAATCTATGATTGAAGAAGTTCACTTGTAACTCTTAGCATGAATAGAATCCATGTCAAGCAAAGAATGTACAGTGAGCAATAGTGTTTACAAAAAATTCAGATTGATAGACACACACAAAATCGTCAGAATAAAGCCTGGAGTCTCGAGATTTTCTAGTGACTGCATTACTATACCTTGCATAATCCTCAGGCATACACGGTCCATCGACTACAATATATTTAGTTACTCCACGTAACCTACAATCAGGTTTGAGTTACTCTAAGTCAGGAGAAAAATTGATCCGGTAAATATATCAACACAAGCGAATGTAGTAAAGCGAAAAATGAATGATCAAGTGAACAAAGTTATGTAGTTTTGCATACACAAAAATAAGAAACATAAATTTACGAATAAATTGTATGGTTTACTTACAGAAACAGTATCAGAATCTGCCATATCGAAAAGCAGTGGGTAGACCTTTGAGTCGAAAAACCGATTTAGGATGAATGTTTGAGAATACATACCAACACGATCAGTTACAAAACCAGTGCCATCAAGAACCAAATGTTTCAGTGTTGTAGTTGGATCCTTTGTATCAGATTTTTGCAATGCACAGTCTTCCAACCTAAATGTATTAGAAAGAATGGAAATCCGTTAGATTAATGGCCACTTTTTTTCGGAACAAACAAAAGCGTTTGGGCACTACTCATAGTTAGATTAAATAAATATACGCCCAAACTAAATACCATAGCAGTAACACATGGACAGTAAAAGAGAGCTAGTTAAGTTTCGGTTAGATCTTTTGCAGGATTTATGAACCACCATACCTTTTCTCCTAATTATCATGTCCCGACAACTAAGTAATGATGAGAAGAATCAGCAACAGCCTTAAGCTAACGTATGAAAAGGAGAAAGTAGACGGTAATAACCAGGATAAAAAGTAGGAGTCCTTAAAGCATATAGAATTATATCGACGTATGATATTAATCGTCTACATCGTTTAACTAAGTTGAGAAGTAGTCAGCCACACAGTGAGTGGTAAAACAACAACTACAAAATGTTATCAACAATCTTTAGGCAAATGACATCCACTGAAACACTGTTAACTATTAAATGGTAGTTTGAATTCCAGCTTTGCCTGCAACAAATACCATTTTGCGCTTGCTTTTTCTAGTTATGAGAGATAATTTAGTTAGGATTTTTTTATTTAAGCACAGAATAATTTAACTAAATTTTGAAACAGCTGGTGGAATTTCCAACCGTTACGCAACGCCTGTGGTTCACAACGTTTGATTCGTTATAACAGATGTGATTAGGAGTTACAAGTTATAGGTTTACATTGTAATTGTGCAAATTTTCACTTGCGTTTCCCATGAAAGGTTTACTTTACAATGCGACTACAATTTTCATAGAATTTGTTATCATAACTAGTGAGGGAGAGTTTTAACTTACTTCTGTACAAATTTCTGATACTGGTTTGAATAGAACATGCCTGGTGGTGTAAAATGAACAACTAAGGATACACCAGAGGTTAGATTTCCACTAGGCTCCTCGGCTTGAATAGAATTGAAAAAGTGTTCATTGGATATAAATGCAGGAATGTAATCAGAATTCGGACAGTCGACGAAAAGCATATTTTTTGATGGTGGTGATGGCACAGTTACTTCATCCGGAGATATCTAGATATGAAATAAGAAAGACTAAAATGTATAGTATTAGAAATAAATAGTAAGAATTCGATTGATGAATACATTTATCTTGACTTTTTTATAATAGCCATTTATTTAGTCACTTAAAACAATAAAAGATTTCTACTATGAAAAAACCCAAATGTCTGTGTGAATAGACAATTTTTATCATCGCAAGCACTGACTACTACTCATAGACATTTGAAATAATTAGTATATGACTTTAACAACTAATACTTGGTTTGCCCCCAAATTCCCTGGTACGGTCGAGGGTGGAAGAGTCAGCTTTCCCTCTTGAAATGTTCTCACACATGAACACACGTATATAGCCACTACTAGGGAAATCCTACTCACTGCCTTTCCGTGACAGGAGGTTTGTTTACACAATGGAGAGGACGAAAAGCGGATGCCCGACGCTTAAACTTGGTTGGTGGGTTCTCATGATCCACGGAGAGGATTAGGAACGCCTTGATTCCAAACTAATGGTCACATGGGCTACAGGATCCTGAGGGAACAAATGGAGTATGGATCAATTGTTGGTCACCGGCTAACATGTGACTGCATCGCCCTGTGGGTTAGACCTATAGGTTAAAGGATCGGGGAGCGTCCCCCTAAGAAAATCACATGCTTCAGTTTGGGCGTCCTCATGCAAATTGAATGACGAAGTGTGGCGAATATATATTTGGTGTCTTTTTGTACCGATCTTTGTGTTTAAACGAATAGATAAATAATACTTCCAATATGTATCTCAATTCGCTAGATATTATAAATGATGGGAACAATTATCGAACAGTTCAACTACTTCAGTTGATGTTGATTTACAGCTCTAAATACTTTAAATTTGATAACAAAATCTGATGACTGCACATCAATACTTGGTTACTTGATGTCTTTACAGTCTGTTAGAATATCAATGCTATTTGTGGATGTAATGTATTTCAACAAAATCTGTAATGAAAGATTAAAAAGTGGGGGGTTAATTACTGGATATTACAAGTGGTGTAAAATGATATTTAATTAGAAGTCGGCAACCCATTGATTTTTACAGCAACTTTTGATTTATATATTTTTGTAACGAACCCACTAGAGTTCTATGTATTTGGCTTTGAGCCACGTTATTTATGAGGAGTGATAATACAAACCAATGACCAAAACCAAAGTACATGGAGTAGTGTTCGATTATGTGAATTACTGGTGAAGTGATATGACTATTAATCTACCGCTCTATTACCATCTATATGTCTGGTTAACAGATAAATACTTATCAGGTAATTTGCTATACCAAGAAGCTACGAGTCTGATTCATGCTTAGAGTAAGTTGAATTATAAATCACAAGAGTCCGAAAAAATTTACTCACTATACGTCCATCACTTAAAATTAAATTTTCTCCATTTATAACAGCTTGTATTTCCCCGGATTTTAGAACAGATCTGTAAAATGAAAGGTTGGAAACAAGTCGAAATTGAAAATATGAACAAACCGAATATCTCTCGCAAAAAAATGAGTAGCGAAAGGTAAAGCAGTTGCAAGAAAACTTAAGTATACGTAAGCCAATCAGACGCGTACACATCAAAGAAATATAAACTAATAAAACATTGCACATAAAGCAACAAAAGTGAGCAATTTGATGGTAAACACAGATCCTTATCCTTGTAGTGTTCAATTTTAGGTTTTCATAATGATAATGAATCAGTTAGTTCCGAATGTCTACTTTGTTGCTATTATTTTCCAAACTATAAAATTTAGATGACTTGTCATTTATGTATTAGAGATTACTTTAAATATAAAAATTTTGATTTAGATAAATACTCAAAATATCTGCTATTCTCCTTAATATTATTAGGATTTCGGTTTACTTTAAAAATGAATAACGTTTATCAAGTAATGATCAACTAATAAAGCGGTACCACATTCGTACCGCAACAAAAAGGATTATGTGACCAGCTTGTAAATGCTAATTGTATTTTAAGAAATTTTATTGTGGGTAAGGATGATAGAAAAAATGTCAGTTGTGATAAGTAATATCATAGAAATTAAATTAATTTGACCTAAACACCAAGAATTATTTTCTATATTCGCCAATTCTCATTTAATGCTACTGTGCAGCACGATATATAAAAAAGATTAGAGTAAGCGGTTCACTGAAAAAGATGTCAGGTTATTGAAAAGTATGGTGATTTCGACAGATTTACTTATGAAATCCTAGCGCAAAAATGGCGACCACTGATCGATACTACCTGGATTAAGTAAAAAAACGATCTGCTTTTTGAGATGGCACTACAAAACAAAGGATAAATTTGTTTGGTTCGTATCTACTGGGACATCACAACTCTTTAGATCAGGTTCCATAAATAAGATAATTCAACTTTTCGAAGCTGCGATTTCTTCGCATTTTATATGGATAGTAAAATTTACTTTTAAAATAACTTTAGAAAAAAGTTTTACGTTATCACCAACCCATGGGAAAAGTATGACGGTTACTGATGAAAGTCATCACTTATCATGACACTTATTTTTCAAAAGGATTTACAGTAAAATTACTTTGAGATGCATAAATATTTATCTCCATCTCCTCAGAATAAACTATCTCAAACTCGGAGATTAAGGTGACAGGTTTAAAAAAGCTTCAAATGTAAATTTTAAAATTTCAGACTGGCAGTCATTTCCCAATGTATTTATTATAATTTGGCATCTTACAAACCGTATGAACTGAAGGGTTGTTTATGATTAACAATGTAAATTTTATATCAATTACGAATTAGTGTGCTTATTTTTAAGTCACACTTTGTGTGAAGCCCAGTGATGCAAACCGGCTGTTCAAACCTCAGTAGTTAGAGTGGGGTCACAAACTGCGTGACCTAATAATGATGTACGTCATTTGTCTACTAAAGATTGGTGTACTCATGTTTGGACACAAGTGCGAAGGATAGTGATACTACCTACCTTTTCAGATAAAAGTAGGTGGAGCGAAACTCGAACCTGCAACTTAATGGTTGAGAGTAGAGCACTAAAACTATTAGGGTACCGACGTACGGGTTATTATTAATGTGTAGTAAACAATAAGTTTGTACCAACTCATTCGATATTTGAAAAATCTGTCTCATAGAAAAATTGGGATTAGGAAGACGTGGTAGAATTAGATTTAAAAGGCTACTACTGACTTACGCTGGTATACATGCTTCATTGAACTTTGACATGATCAACTTACGACGTGTACGAAATGGCTAATGAACAGAGATAAAACAGAAAAGGAATTAAAATATAATTACTGTAATTGAATATGAGTGGGAATTTGTTATGTAATATGACGTTGAAATAGTTGAGAGTGATAATAGTAGAATTCCACTTAATTTGATCTTTCAAAGATTAGATTAATGTGAAGGTAGTTCTTTTTTACTACGGAAGGATATCAACCAAATTTCCGCTTATAAATGATACTTGAATTAAGATTTTGCAGATGTGAGCCAAAAAATGCAGAGAAGGTTTGATAGACAGATTTAACTGTAGTTTTGATATTTCATCATCTGGATTATTACAGGATTTTTAGCAGACAAAGTATTATATTCGGTTGTATTAACATGCAACAACATCCAGTCTTTGATAAGTTAAACGGAGAAAAGTTTTCATTTGGCCCATTTCTAGCCAATCAGCACTGGCGGACAAGTGAAGATTCTAGAACCTCGTGTATAGTTATAGATATACTGTTCTTCTTACAGTGACTCCCGTCCAACTTGATTTATGTGGAATATAATTACATATCTGTCCAAGCCGTTTTCATGTTTTGGGCACTAGTTGAGTGAAGTGGTATTTGAGGAGTACTAAGCAATAAGGGTACATAAGTCTTACGTTGTAACTGAATGAGTTGGATAACAAAAGACTGAACATGTCTTTCCAATCTCAGAGTATTTAAAAGCTGTAAACTTTACCGAGCCAAAATATCAAGCACGTTTTTAAGCTGTTTATGTAACAAGAGCGAATTAAAACACTAGATCTTTATGGGTTTTAACATAACCTTTACTAAAACGATGGTGAACTATAAATCATGGATGAAACAAAAGTGTGGATATCTATCTATTAAATTGACTAACCTGGAAGTAGTATATAAAAACACTAGATTCTGATACATTACCCAGATTTTCTTTTCGTCGTTTGTAGACTACAAGATAAAATATCAAAAACATTAGTCACAATGTACGCAACAGCATAGTACTCGAATCTGCCTTACGATTTTAGATACAGAAATGCTTTTGACAAGAAGAATAGCGGTGATTGAGATAAACAAGGAAAACATACTAAGAAACGTACGATGCCCAAAGATTAGGCTTGGTAGTTATATTTTAAGTTATCAGAGAATGAGTGACCTACCAGCTAGTTTCTTCCAATAGCCTATGGCATTTTACCATGTTTATTTTGTGTTCATATTTTGTAGATAAGTGTTGTTTTATTATATAAAACTATGCGTCTGACTAGTGGTCTTGTCTTTGAGTTCTAACCATTCGAGGGCCTAAGCCAACTATACGGTGTCATGAGAAGCCATCACTCGGTCACACTATATCATTACGTTCATCTATCGATTGGCATTCTGTTCATCAATTCTAATGGTGGAAATTTCATTCAACCAAACCATAGAAAACCCCCTCCATAATAAAAAAATCCCACAAATACCGTCTTCTATCACAAATCATGTTTTTGAGTATTTTAACTTTAACCCTTGGAGACAACCCGTCGGGCCAAATCCATGGATAGTAGAGGCAATAACAGTATCAGTAGTAATTGGAAAGATTAGGCACCAGAGATGCGATTCGAGAAAATTTAAATTAGTGAAGTAAAGACAGAAAAAGTTATGAGAAACTTAGAATTTCAGAAATTATGGGAAGAAAGAGAACGAATCCACCTGTGTCATTGCAAACGATAATGTCCTCGAAAACATTGTTATTGTATGACATGGTAGGACCTAAAGGAATATATTTTTCAGGCAATAGGTTGAGTTGGGGATATCGTTTACCAAGTTTTAATGTAACAACTAAACGTTAGGAAAATATTCAATAAGTAAAAACTTGCCTGGTTCTTCATTTACGTTTGTTGGCTTGAATATTTGGAAAGATTGTACGCGAAATGCATCATCAGTGTAATACTTCTCATGAATCTCACTCATGACTGAAACGAAGAGAAAACACCAAATTGAGTCGATTTAAAAAAGTAAGCAAAGAACTAGCTAAGATGCAGCTAGATGATTAATGGAAAAGTGAGCTTATGATCATAAAAGAGGGCTATTTGACTAAAGAGCATGAAAAAACTTACCGATATCGGTTGTTTTACAATCAGTAAACGGACGAGTCAATTGCATCAGATGTTCCTAAGGGCATAAAAAAAGTTTAAATGCAAATAATGTGCATGAAGTAAAGGGATCCTAATTGACCTGGAAACTTGTAAGTTATCATCTAAAATGACCTCATAACGATTTAGATTTGTAAATTTGTAAGGACTGCTTAAGCATCATTATAAAAAGAAATTACTAATCATTAAATATGCAATAAAGATCAAAACTTGGTAGACAGGAAATCAAACACAAATAATATATTTTTGACACAGAACTATAACAGACGTACGAATTTAGATATATTTCAAGACCTAGGATTTTAGGATCAAATGTTAGGTGTTTGCATAACTATTATTCATAATACTGAAGGTGATCTATCGAACACAAAGGTCTAGAGCTGATTGTAGTGTTTGGCTTGAGTAAGCAGATAAACTATCCCTCTTTACGAAGTAAATAGAAAACTTAGTATTGAATCACGATAGAAACAATGAGAGAGAAGGAATCCCTTTCAATTACTAAGAACAGACTTCTGTGCCAGGCTTTGGGTTATAACTGTTTCAGACAATGCCCAGACATTTGAAAACGTGAGTTGGTCTTTGCACTAATGGTCCGATAGATGAGTGTAAAATATTTAAAATACTTAGTCTCTATTGCATAATACGAACGTCTAGGAATATTAACAAAGCAATATAATAGAACATAACATATATATGACCACCTTACTAGTAATTATAACCGATGGATTGCATTAACACTGTCAGATAGCTTCTTCAAGTTTACAAGGACAACCTCCAAAATACTTTTGAGATTGCCTTTGATTTGAGCAAAACGTTTTATCCAGAATAATGATAATGACGAGAATAATCTTCCTTTACACAATTACAATAATCTAGTCCCTTTTACTTAATAGAAACAAGAATGAGTTTTTAACGTTTCCCCATATTCTGTGATCGATTATTTTTCATGCTACTGTATAACGGTAAAAGGATTAAATGGCTTTGCTTCTAAAACAACTTTTAGACATAGGATAGAACCATTTGCAGGCAGGATTAATATTAGCTTCTTTAGCAGACATATCTAAGCGTCTATGCAAAGTGAAGAATCATTTAGGTTAGTTAGCCTAACGACTTTTCTAATAAGAGGTGATTTTCCAAATTTAAACATCTAATTAGCTTCTAAACAGATAACTTTAAAAACACAATTTAAAGTGGATACACCATTTGTATACAAAATTAAGGTGAGGACAAGAACAGGAAAATTTTAGAAAGCATTATAAGGAATAGTTGCAAATGAATGTAACTGCTTCGGTGAATATGGATATTAGACAATGTCGAACGTTAGTAGCAAAAACAGTTAACCCCTTCGTGAAATAATAGAGCAAGAACATTTACCATCACTAACAATTAGTTATGTTCCCTAGTTATGAAATAGAGCTTTGCTGATTATCATATCTGAATCAACTAACAGTGAAGAGAATTAGCTTAAAATATTTAACATTGTACAGAATGATATCTGAGCAACGAAAACGACCGCTGTTTGTAAAAGATATCCTAACATTACTTTTATTCGAACTTAAATTTTCAATACCTGCTACCTGATAGATATTTCGTAATAACATTGAAAGTGCATATTTTGCTAATACAATATATTTTGTATGGTGGATAACTCACTAGTTCTGTGGGTCCATGTATAGTTAACTTCTTAACTCCTGCGGCCTTTGCAGTCAATGCCACACCTCAAAATATGTACAACTAGCATTTGTACTAACCTAGTAATCCAGAAGTGCAATCCCAAGACATACGCGTAAGAAAGACATGTTGTATGCGCGAAGTTTTCATTCTAATATTAAGTAAACTAAGAGCATCATTACCGATATTCTGCCAAGACTCTTTGCGTTGACTCACCACAGTTGACCAAATAACGACATACCCCTGTGTCAATGAGCATCGATTTCGAGGAACCAGCGCGTCCATTGCCAACAACGGTTAATGATATGGAGTGTGGTGGTGGAATCATCTTATCTCCAGGGCGTTTATGTTTTAGGAACCGTTTAGGTGTTGTTACTAAACGTACGTAGCACAAGGAGGAACGCAGCATTCACTGTCACTGCAAGCCTCAATAAAGTTACCTGTAGCCTTGAAAACGTGTTAGGAAAAGAGATGCTTGTAGCTAGAACAAAAATATCAGACGAAAATCAATAGATTTACAAACACGTTTTGGATTTAGTGGTTTAAGTGCAGCGTCGCCACCTAGTTAGAATGGTACGTCCACAGACATGCCTGGTAAACCACGTTAGAAAAGTAGCGCACCTTTTGATAATACCCCCGAATTACCTCAATGCCATCATCCTAATGTCCAATATTCACAGGCGTGTATAAACTGGTTGATTTATTTTCGCTTGTTTCGCTTGTCCCAGTACGGTTCTGGGTATTCGCTAATGTTCATTGGGTAGTTGTCTGACCACTCAAATGTACTAATCTAGTCAGTTTGGTAGTTATTTATGGATTTATATATCTTTCAGTTTGTGTTTGCTTCAGGGACGCAAAACTTTTGGATACCGGCAGCTTTCGCGTCCATTTTAGAAACAATGGACAGAGAATTTAAATGCTAGGAGGATACGATTGCTTCGATAAATAAATAACTAGGTTAATGCAGATAGTATGAGGAGACTGAAATGTAGGAATAAGAGGGGAAACGCGGATGACAATAAAATGGACAGGAATAACTGAGTGTTATGTGATGATGATAGCAGTAGTTAAATTATAAGAACTTAATTAGATACAGCTGGTCCATGCTAGAGATGTTAATCCGCTCATTCAATGTCTTCTTGAAGCTGTACACTGAGAGTGATGTGGTTAGTTTGGCTTCGAAAGCATTATAAGTAGAACAGCTCCTCATGAGAAAAGGTGTGGGAGTACCCTGGTTTTGTTATTTGATGTGTGTTCTTCCAGGTGTCTCTTTGAGGAACATGATGAGGCTGTATTTTTTTAAACAGTGTCGTATACAATTCTAGGGTGATTGAGCCCAGTTGTATTCGCACAAAAGTCATGAGTTACACTTACCTTGTTTAGATCCCCGATATAGTTTGAGCTGGTATCCAAGGTCTCTATGATGACTAGCCCTATATCTCACTCTGATGAGACAATCGAGAGCTGGCTTCCATGGAGGTCATATGTTGTTTTATCAAATGGGGTAGAATGTTCATGACATGATATTTCGACATGTTTTGTTTTAACCCATTGTCGATTATTCATTTCTCTCAGGTTGTGGGATTTTCGGCTAGCTGTTTATATGTAATACTCATGTTCTGGAAGAGTGAATACTATATTCAAAGTCGGAAAGGTCTCAAAGTCTTGATTGCTCTAGGCCTTATATTTTGACCAAATGGCTTTGAAACCATGGTCACCTGTTGCATAGAAGTGTGTGGATGCTTACACTTCACGACTAATGATGACTAGGAGGTCAATGTATAGCTGTCAAACAATATCCACAGCAAATGCATATGTACCGTGACCAATATGCACCATAGTCCAAATGAAAGTATTTATCAGCTACTAACGAATTGTAAACGTATCATCTCTATAATTCATTTTAAAGCTCTCAACCATCCATTTCACCTCGCACCACTTATCATATCTTGGTATCATCAGCATATAAAGATCATGGTGGTAAGGGACTAGCAAAGCCATTTACATGCATTAGAAATTTGGTTTCCGATGGATATATTAATGAACGATCGTGTACCTGATTGATCATATTCGCATTGACTGAGTGAATCAACCGCTTCAGGGTAGGTGGTTCGTTTCCTATTCTTAAGGATGTTTCATTATTTTGTGCGGATTTTTTCTTATGGTTAAATGCTGAATTCAGAGATCAATTGATTGTTATATTGACGTTTTTTTTAGAATAAAACACCTTTCAAAGCCTTGATCACAACAGAAGTCTTTATAGGTGTCTACCAGGAAATATGAGCCCAAGACATCGGAGGACAGTCAATTTTTCGCCATCATGACAAGTGAAGGGTTGTTTGGAAGTACCAGTGTGTGTACATGGGTTAAGTCATTTAGTACAGAGCCAGCATTGGTCAATAGTAGTGTCACTTACGGTGATAATGTAGTGGCATAGGGCCCTGACCATACAATCCTAAACGCTGAACACGAGGCGACTGGGAAAACAGATATTCAACATTTGAGGCGGATAAAAAACTAACGATGAGAAAGGCGAGTGGAAAAAATTGAAAGAATCTAAATGAATCGAATGGCATGGCTCGGCCTCGAAGACGTGATCATTTTTGTGTAGCCTATACCTTTTATTTATATTGAACATATTGTTCTATCTCTAGCCTAAGTGTGTTCTCCACCATACACTGGTGAATATTACGCTACGATGAGTCGGTGTATAAAATGATGTGACTTCCACGTAAGATCTTATATATTAGGCAGTTACATCAAGACAAATCTACAAGTTCGGGATTAGGTCTATTATTAGAGCAGTACTATTAACGAAATAATCCGTAATTCTACAATTGTTCATTTAGTAGAGTGGCAGGGTGTAGATCTAAAGGGATTTCCGTTTTGTTATAGGGAGAGAGGGAGGAAGTAGGAGTATATACTTCATATTCTTGTTCGTTTGGTTTGTTATCGATAGGGCTAGTGAAAGAGAAGTAGTCAGAAGGTGGTATGGTGAAAGAATCAACATTTTTAGAGGTAAAAGGCGAAGTAGAGTGGTTTGTATGGATAAGTGATTTATTTGAAAAATCGTTAAAATGGTCCGACAAGGAGCTATCAGGACTGGTGAATTTGTTGGTGAAGTGATGTTTATCGCTCCGTATTTAGTCAGAGTATATAGAGGATAGTCCTAAAACAGTGGGAAAATCACGCTCAACAGTTTTAGGCAACAAAGAAAGAATGTTGAGGGGAAGAAAACCAATGACGTATGGGGTGGTGTTTGTGTCGATGTGATGAGAACCAGAGATTGTATTAGATAGTTTACCTCATTAGGCACGTACCCAGATAGATCAGCATTGTAATGATTTTGTGTGCTAAGGAGCAGCCTATCCTCGGCGTGGGCAATCAAAGGCGTTGTATGTTTTGGGTTAAAATGAGGAATCTCCTGAAACTATAGTTAGGAGGCGTTCACGTAGTATATAGTAGTTTCCTGATGCTTAAAACTATTAAAGTACACCCTAAACCATTTCCCAGTGCCGTGAGAAGGCAAGGTCGTGGACAGACTTAGCGGCGTACCCGAGTAATTAAGTATTGCTAATCCTTTGTGTGTCTTAGGGTCTACCAACGCTGTGAACAAATTCATGTTTTGGGCTAAGGGCAATGAATTTTTTGCAGGTTTTTTCAGAGAAGTCTGTATGATCTCTATTTCAGTGACCGAACGGCTATAGCTTGCAGCACCATTTTTAGGAAGATACCTGTCAAGCATAGTCGTTGTGGATTTATCGGTGCCTTTGAAATAATCCTGAACGATTGTAGATGTATAGCTGAATTGAGACTAGGAAGTAGTTGAGCGTTAGGTCCCGGGATTATGTTTGCAGCTGTTTTATGTACAGTTTCAATTTTCGAACAAGTATTAGCACACAGTGTGGCTTAGATTTTGTGAGGACTGAGGAATGCTATTTGAGGGTTTTTGTGTGGTCATAATTGTGACTGTTGTCAGTGAATGGATTAGATTGGTTGATGTATATTTCTTTGATGATTCACCTTTGGATGGATGTCCTGTCATAGATTATTCTATTTTTTTCGTAATCCAAATGCGCCGAAGTGAAAGATGACTATTAATGAAGTGATTCTCCTCTTTGGCACTAATAAACAAAAAGCAGATGAGACAGGATACACTATTTTTGACTTTTCTTGATTTTTATGTTACACCACAAGTGTGTGACTATCTACACTCCTGTAGTAGAGTGCTTTCATATATCATACACATATCACACGCAATGACATCCTGCATATAATTACGTCTTCTTAACACTCTCGAGCATATATGGCCACTCAATTCATCGGTTCTTATAATTTCGAGATCAGAATTTTAAGGAACACCGTTGGGGCGTTTGTATGATACCAAAGTGCTGGTTCAGGTCTAGCGTAGTCCTAGAAAGATCAGATCACGATAAAGAATGACTAGCATGTTAAAACAGCTTAATCATAACCTAATTGATTAAGGATTTCATTCTTTTACATAAGCTCTATTCAATAAGTCAGAAAAAATATAATTTAGATGGCCCTGATGTAAGAAAAAAACAACGGTTTGGACTGCTGAATAGCCTTCCCGGTACGTTAGACACGCGCCCTTTCCCGTCGAAATCAAAACAAGTGATCGGGTAAATAGCGGTTCTATAATTCATCATAAATTTAAATGTAAATCGTTACCTAAACAAATATTACTACCCGGCTATTCAACCAATAATTGTTCAATCAATCAAATCTAAATTACAATAAATAAAGTAGTTGATGAAGGATGAGGGAAAATTACCAGTCACAACAAATGAACGCTATTCTATCCTGACTGGATAGAACACACTAAAGGAGGAGCAAATCAATATGGCTACCGCCAAGAACAAGTGTCAAGTAAAACAACACAGATGCTGTTCGGGAAGAAACACAAACTTAGTGAATGCGTAAGAAAAACAAAAACTATAATAAAAAAATACAAGTATTAACAATTCAAATGTAATCAAAAGACAACAATGTACAACTAAGGGGATCAATAGGAACAAAGTGCAAGTGTATACATGAAGGGATTTTCACAAACACACAAAACATTCAAAATGGATCTTACACCTGACATAATTTAAAATAAATTGAGTATGGTTCATATCAGCACACCAGAGACCCTTAGAACTTAGCATATTTGATGATAAAAGTCTTGGAATAGACGTAATTGCAATATTCATTCACTACACGTACTTCGTTGAACGAAAGAAAGCGAACTATGTGGAATGTAAGTCATTAAAGGTAACAGAGGAAGACCACGTAAAAATTAATAACCTTTAGAGTCCGCGTCATATAACGCGAGCGGACAAGTTTCTGGTGGTGATCGAACACATACCTCATAGAGAACCGTTGTAGATTCATTCAGATGAAAGCTGCGAATAATGGATCCAATAGCTCTACAAGGTGTAGAGAACTGATAGAAAGCTTGTCTGGTGGGTGGGAGAACTTTAGAATGTCACATTCTTAAATCTTGTGCATCACAGTCATACATACCGAAACCGCAGACAGGATTGATCTAACATAAATCCTCAGTACTGCTTATATACTGCGATATCAGGGAGATAGTGGACTCAGCTAATACAAAAATCGCATCCAAATG